TCTTCTCCATGTGGAGCCATGATGCAGACATAGATAGACACAGTCCAGAGGTCCAGAACTGAGAAGGTTCTGCTCCCTGAAAGCAGCAGCAGAGTGAGACTTCTTCCCTTTTCGTCCTATCTGTGCAGTCAGATAAAAGCTGCAGCATCAGTTGCTGCTGCAGCACTCTGCTCATGCTGACGGGCTCCCGAACAGCTGCTGCCGGACCACCGACCGGCCCATCAGACCTCCACCAGAACCCCGCCTGTGCAGGCCGCAGGTGAACGGCTCCTGTGCGGCTGAGCGGCTCGGAGATGCCGGTGCAGATCCCGGACGACTCGGACTTCTCCTCGTTCAAAGATCAGTGTCTGAGCGCGGACGGATGGACGAGCCGCTACAACAAGGGGGGGGTGACGGTGTGGTGCCGCGACCAGGAGAGCAGCACGGTGCAGAAACTCAAGGTGAGAGCGGCCCGGACTGGACCGGACCGGTACCGGGACTGTGCCACCTTCACAGCACAGCACCAGACAGGCTTGTGTCAGTCAGTTCAGAGTTTACTTGTGTGTTGTTTGGCATCCACAACTAACTACTAGTCTGTCAACTATTTGTGGCTGAATTCAGAGAATTTCATGGATTTGTGTTTTCTGTTCTGGAGGCCTTTTGAAGCCTCAGATGTTGTTAAATGTCAATGATGTTGGAGCCTCCAGGTGTTGACATGTCGACCAGTACAGTATATATATATATATATCCACAGAGAGGAACTTTGTGAAGCCTCAGCACCACCCTGGTTGAACATGCTGCACTTTTTCCACTTTAAGAGGCCAAACATGAAGAATTGGGTTTCTGTTGGAACCATTCCATCAGATATGTGTCTCTGTTGTGTTTCTGGTCTCGCGGTTTGTTTGTTTTGTTTTTCTGACAGTGAAAATAGAAAAAAAGAGTCTGAAAAAACAGAACCGTGTTCCAGGTCCGAGACGATCAGTAAACTCTGCTCAGAGTTTGAAATGTGAATGTTTTCTGGTTTCTTTCTAAAGTGAATATCTTGGACTAAACGAGACCTTTAAGGGAAGAATGAATCCAGAAATCAATCTACAGTGAAATAATAATGGTTAGTTTGTCAAAACCAGCTCCATTTGAAAAAGGTTCTGTTTAAAGCCCGGCTGAGAACATTGTGAGTGAATCCTGACTTTTAGCTCCGGTTGGTCGTCTCCGGCAGGTTTTATAATCAGGATCTGTCGGTTTCTGTCACGACTCTTCTCTGAGCAACTGATCAGCTGATCTGTTTTCACCATTTCCTGATATTTTAGAGAGCAGACAGTTGATTGATTCATCCAGAAAATGATACAAACAGTTAAAGTAATTGTGTCTTGACGGCCCAACCTGTGCTCTACACGAGTGTTTCCACCTGAAGCTCATTTCTTCATGACTGCAGGAGATTGTTTCAGCAGTCATGATCGATCCAAACGAAGCCAACTGTCGCCCACATTCAGCTTGTTCTTGAGGACGGATCCGGTTGTTTTGGGTTTTTTTGCTCAAAGTGTCCGTGACAGCTGACTGCAGGTTCCACGAACCATCAGTGCAAGTTTCAGCCTCACCTGAATATTAATCTGTGGAAAGAAGATCTGATATTTGATCCTGTGCCTCTGTAATCTGAGTACTACAGTCTCTTCAGCATCCTCACCGCCCAGGTTAAAGTGGATGCTCTCTTTGAAATACTCACCAGAGTGACGGCGTTTATCAGCCAGAAAGCGGAAAAAAGATGATCAGAGTAATTATTTGTGATGTGCAGCTCCACCAGGATCATTAACTACCTCAGCAGAAAGCAGCTCGACTCCTGTCCATCCAACAGTCTTTGCTTCTAGCGGGCTGATGGGGAGTTTGACCAGATCCTTGCTTGTGTTGTATCTGCTCTCAGATGGACGTCGCTAAATGAAACTGTAGACTTGTAGGTTCAGATGCATATTGTAACCCCACACATGGATGATGTCCCATTAAAGAAAGACTCACATGTCTCGAGGTTTTAATGATGGTAGAACCTTCTTTGGAGGGATCTCAGGACCGCGTTATGAACACCTGCTCAGTCTTCTGTGTTCAGAGATGGATGTTCCGGTTTAACGTAGATGTCTTCCTTCACGCTGTCTTCTCTGTCCAGAATGTGGACATTTCTGTGGCCTTCCGATGCAGGGAGAGGCTGAGTCTGGGTTCTGAGGAGCTTCAGTCCGTGTCGTTCTTGTGCAGTGGTTCTTCCTGCTTGCAGCTCTGTGCACTCGGGGCTGCCTTGGACTGCAGATGCAGCACTGCTTGGCCTGTCTTCAGCTCGTCTCTGTTTCCTGTCGTGTTGTTTATTTCCAGACCTCTTTGTCGACTTGACGAAGGTCCAGTTTGGACCACAGGTTTTCACTGCTTTCATAATATGTGTGTTGGGCAGAATATTCTCGGCCCGGTGCTGTGAGGTTCTGATATTTTCTGTCTGTAGAAACCCTCAGTGTATTAACATATGTGTTGGTCAGGGAGAGATCCAGAAGGCTCCTATCTGACTGGAGGTGAGCTTGGTTCTGTGGTTGGTTCTGTGGTTGGTTCTGTGCTTTATGGATCTGTGTTGCAGTAGAGTCTGGTCTCATGTGCAGACTGAGCCGACTTCAAATGAAACCACAGGCAGTACTTGGCTGCTGATGACAGCAGCGGCAGTCGGGGGGAAGCAGGCGAATGTTCGAATATCAAAACTGATGTCTGGATGCCACCACACCACCCAGTATTCAGATTGTTGGATTCTGGGGTCCAGCCCTAATATCCAGTCAGCAGGCAGATCGCTAGATGGACGACTCTGTTTACTTTAATGCCTGAAAAATTGTAATGATCATCGTGCAAGTTCCAGTAAAATGTGCAGCAGGAAGTGACTGTAAAGCGTCCCTGCAGCGAGCAGGAAGGACTTTTCTCACTACGCCAGAGCTGCACACGCTCCTGCTGAAAACACAGGATGGAGGCTTATCCATCATTAGCAGATTTTGAGAAGTTTATCCAGCATCCATCTCTCAACAGTCACCTGCAGCAGCTCAGACGTCCCAAGAAGAAGCAGAACAACTCTGAGTGAAGGTCTGGCTCTTTAGAATCCCTCCTCCTGACCAACAACCAGCACATGGAGGCAGCACCATCCATGAAAAAAGACCAGAGTTTCACACTAACTGCACATTACCCAGAAACAACAGCACCATAAAAAGTCTGTTAAACTACTGGATCTATCCTGGACAAGATGTCAGAGAATCTGACAGAAAACACGTGTTTAAAAGAGTGAAGCACAAAGAGCAGCTCAGACAGCAGCCCGGAACAGGAACAGAGTGAAAACACAACCCGGACCAGAACAGCAGCGCTTCATTCGCTCTGAACACTCCACGGACACGGAGCGCTGTTTGCTGGATCTGTTGCCGTCATCACAACGGCAAACATTTACCCAGCTCTCCTCCAGAACCAGTTCATCCTGCTGCAGCTTATTCTGCAGCTACAGTCAATATTTATTGGCAGTCGGTGTGAGGAGGAGGCTGCCGGGACCGGACCTGGATTCTGTTTGCTTCAGTTTGTCAGAATCAATACCGAAGAGTTAAAGTGTAAAGACCAGCACTGGAGTGCTTCAGCCGGAGTTTTATCATTAGATCAGGAATAATAACACTTTATATTAAAACTTGTTTCAGTTTTTGAAGATTAAAAAACAGATTTTAAATGTTTTCATTTTTAGGCTCTACAACCTGAAACCGTGGATCCAGATGATGCCGGTCAATGAAACAAGATTCATGAAAAATTATGTTGTTCATGTCATAATAATGTCAATGGATTAAATTCATCATTAAACAAAGACCTTCTGTCAACACGTGGAGGTGCAGCCTTATGACGGCGTTATGTCCCGGTTCTACGCAGTACTGTGTGAGAGCTGAGGTACATGTTGAAAGTACAAAGAAGTACGTGTTTTGGTACGAAGCATAAAATAAAAAACTAAGAATGAGTCCTTCCTAAGATGGAACCTGCAACGTGGAAGTTCTTTTCAGGGGGCATTTGAGAACCACAAGTTCTGTCCAAACTGTCAGTGTTCCGAGCCAGGCAGAGTACGTGGAGCGTCGGTTCTGATTTGACATGCAGCCGGTGAATTCAGTGGGTCGCACGTTCCACAGCGGAGTCCTGACAGTTTGGTCATCACTGTACCATCGTGTAAAAAACATGGATATGAATGCACACCATGAACGTGTCTTACAGCTGGTGGAACCGTGTAGCGCCTCCTTCTGGCAACACTACACAGCCACGTTCACTCACTCCAAAACAGGAACCAGTGCTCATCTACATTTTCAGTTCACTCCTTTAAATTTGTGGCAACCTTTAAGACACGCTTTGTTTGACTGCCTGTCTGGAGGCCGTTGCAGGTCTCCTGTTTCATTGTTTTTACTGTTCTTAATGTCCTTTTTAATGATTTTATTATAATGTTATTGTATCGTGGATTCTAGTTATTTTAAATAGTTTTATATTTTGTGTTCAGCACTTTGTTTCAACTTTTGTTGTGTTAAAGTGCTTCATAAATAAAGTTGAGTTGAGATGAAGTGCAAGACAGGGTCTGTCAGAGCTGATGGTTCTCTGATCTGTGAGTTTGACCCCAAGAACGTCACTACTGGACATCACTGAGCGCACTGGTGATGGTGATGATGGTGATGATGGTGATGAGGAGGAGGAGGAGGAGGAGGAGGAGGAGGACGATGGTTCCTGTTTCAATAATGCAGGTCGTCTTTCTGGAGCAGTGAGGCACTTGTTTGAACTCATCAATGATTCATGTCTGCTCAGACTGAGTGTTCCCCTGCTGATTAAACCACCTACTAGCCTAGCTTAGCACAAAGGCTGGGAGCTGAGGGAGACTGTTAGTCTAGGTTAGTGCAAAGGCTGGAAGAAGGAGGAAACTGTTAGCATAGCTTAGCACAAAGACTGGAAACACAGGAAAACTGTTAGCATAGCTTAGCACAAAGACTGGAAACAGGGGAAAACTGTTAGCCTAGCTTAACACATAGACTGAAAACAGAGAAACTGTTAGCATAGCTTAGTACAAAGACTAGAAACAGGGGAAATTGTTAGCCTAGCATAGCACAAAGACTGAAAACACAGGGAAACTGTTAGCATATCTTAACACAAAGGCTGGAAACAGGGGAAACTGTTAGCATAGCTTAGCACAAAGACTGAAAACACAGGCAAACTGCTAGCATAGCTTAGCACAAAGGCTGCAAACAGGGGAAACTGTTAGCCTGAGTTGATGAGTAAAAGTAGACCATAAACACATTCCCATCACAGTAAATTCAGTTAAACTCTGTTTTAAACCAGATGATGACTGCGTGGAGAGTATATGAGCTGTTGTAGCGATCCCTCCTGATCCTGGGTGGTCCTCAGACTGAAGCCAAAACAGAGGATTCTGGGTAAAGATGGTGATCACTGTGTG